ATAATTTACGAAATTCTATTCCATCGACACCAAATCTTACCACAAAAAAAAAAAATTATGGATACCTCATCGTCTCTTTATAAAAAGAAAATCAAAAATAATGCATGGCTTGTGCATGATTTGTTGCCATAAATCAATTGCAAGGCATTAATTCATGATAATTAGAGACTCAGTTAATTAAATCATCTAATTCCACAGAATGACTTGCATAAAAAAAATATTCATGGATCGTGGGTCTTATAATTATTTAAATCCTATTTGATTTATAGATATCTTTCTAATTTCATTTTGAAGAAGATAAATGAGTTATTTGAGATCGGATAATAACAGATACATAAATATATGAGATGCATTAAACATTTAAATCTATATAACAAAAGTATTGTCTTTTTTATCCATAATAATGTATGTATATAAATCTTGCCATATATTTATTTGAAAATATAATGAATATTGACTTAATGTTCAGAAAATCAATGATATTACAGAGAAATATTCATTAGATTGATAAGGTCGCAAGGATTCAATATTTTATTTTTATCAAGTTTATGCTATATTCTCATCTTTCTTTCTATTTTTTTTTTTTTTTTTTTTTTTTTTTTTTTTTTTACTTCACTCCCTTTTCTACTCGTTTCGTCAAGCGTTTTTTTTTTATTTTTTTTCTTCTACTTTTTATATATTCTATTCCTTTCTCGACGTTCGTTTTCCCAAAAAAAAAAAGAGAGAGAGATAGAGAAAGAAAGAGAGAGAGAGAGAAAAAAAAAATGAAATATAAAAATGAAAATATGGAAACCTTGTGAGACCTAAAACTAAATAGACAAATAAATAGATTAACTAATTCAAAAACAAACAACAATTTTTTCTTTTCTCTTTTGTTTTGTTTATTTATTTTCTGTCGACGAACTGTTTTTATTTTCTTTTTTTTTCTTCTTCTCGTCCTTTTCCAATTCTCCGGCGCTCACCCAGGCGCAAGTGAGTGACCTTTCCTCCCAGCTCGAAAGCTCCTTGAAGAGCTTTAAGACCTTGAGCAAGAGCCACGAGGAGCTTAAGCTGAGGGAGATCGAGATGAAGGTACGTTTGAAGGAGGGAAGGAGGAGAGAAGCGGGGGAAATCTTGGATAAAGGTGGGGAAGGAAGGAGGAGGAGAGAAAGATGGGAAACGGGATTTTGATTTTTTTGAAAAAGGGAGGTGTGGGATTTTGTGTTTGTTTTTTAAGTTTTTTTCGTCAGATAATTTCAAGATTTTTTCTAATTTGTTTTTCTAGAAATTTAGAGAACTTTGGCGCTTTTTAATATTTCTTCTTTTCCCTCGCTGGAAACATAAAATAATTATCACTTTGCTTTCGTAAATTCCTATAAAGTAATATTTTCCCTTAAACTGTCTTATTCTTAAAAATGACCTTTAAAACTCACTCTAACATAAAAAAAGGTGTAGGATTTTTTTTAAATCCCCCTTTGAATTCACAACTTAAAAAATTTCCCATTTTCTGTAAGGAAGATCCGTTTTCTATAATCGTGATATAATCCGTTTTCTATAATGGCCACAAAGCCCTTCTCGATATGTGCCTTCCCTGAGGACTTATTACGTTCCAATTTCACCATTAGACCCTCGAGAAGGAACTTAAGTCCACGCTGGAGAGGTCAGTCGAGGAATTCTTAATCTTTAAGGAGAAATACGAGGTCTTGAAGAAAAGGGAGATCTTTATGAAGGTATGTTTTTAGGGGGAAACTTAAAAAGAGTAAAATAAAGAATGAATGAACGATTAAATCAATCAATTAATAGATGAATTGATGCACAAATTAATTGATAAAGCAATAAAGTAATAAAATAATACTTAAATAGATAAATTAGTTAATGAATAGGTAAATTAACAAATAAAGCAGGGAAAGTGGGTTTGAATAGAGCTAAAGAAAAAAAAATTGATTGGAATAAAATTAAGAGAATTTTGGCTTGAATTTTGATAGTAGTCCTTTTTATTTTTTTTTTTTTTTTTTTACTCAAAAATGTTTAGCCGTTTCATTACTATTATTCACCTTTCGAATCATTCATTTATAATACGTCATTCATTCATACATTTCGTCATTCATCCACCTACTTATCTTTTATCATGTGTTTTGCTTATTCTGCTTTATCATTATTACGTAATTTAATTCTTAGATTAATAATTATTCATTTGTATTTGAATGTCTTATTCTTTACTTCTCTCGAATGAATTACATAGTTATTTGTTAATTTTGAATATATTTCAGGGTAAAATTCATGTATTTAATTCTTGAAAATTGTTTTATGTACTTTGCAAAAGTTTATTTTCTTTTGATAGATAACTACGTCTGTTTTCATACGTTATGCAAAGTTAATTTTCTTTGCTTTATAAAAGGTCATTTGGGTAAAAAGAAGTTACACGAATAAATTAGCTTTTTTTATTTTTATATATATATTTATCTCAATTTATTTTATTTATCTATTATCATTGTTATAAGAATGGGAGCTTAAAAACCGC